ACAATGAAGGGGAGAAGGCTCCCCACCCCAGAACTCCTCAGAGCAGAGACAGTGGGGACTGCTGTTTCTCAATAAAGGCCTTTCAGCTCGATAAAGGCCAGCTCAGTCCCCTTTTTCCCAACTAAGCACATGCATTTGTGTGACTGTTTAAAAAACAAAAGGCTTTCGCCTGTGTATTTTCCCCTTACTCTGCAGCATCCACACATCAAAATAAAAGATGGCACCAAGGTTGCTTCAATTCCAGTAGTAAACAAGGAGCTGAAGTAACGCAACAGCTAATCCCAAAGGCCTTTCTTGGCTTTGCATTCAATATGCTGCCCATCTCCAACCTAGCTCGCCTCTAGGCCACATCCTGAGCTCCATCAACTCCATCAACTCCCCAAACTACAAAAAAAGCGGGGAGACACACCAAATCCTCCTGAACTTCCTTCTTGATAAAGAAGGAAAATATAGGCTGTGAGGGAATGCGCTCCCCCAGCCCTCCTCCCCACTCACCATGACAGATGTTGGTGGGGCCTGGGGCTCAGTGTCAGCCACTTCTCTTCTTGAATTCCTTCTCCCCCACCCCACCCATCAACCTTGCTTTGTTTTGCATCTTTTCATCACTTCATTTTATTTTTATGTTTCCGCCAGGAGGGCTGAAGGTGTGTCTGCCCGCGGCTGCCTGTGCAGGGCTTACAGTGTACCCAAAGTGCCCTAGGAGGTGCTCACTACTGGCTGGATGTGTCCCCTGAAAGTCAGGTACCTCACAATGGAACACTAAATTAAAATGAGGTCACTAGGGTGGGCCCTAATCCTATTTGACCTGATATTCTAATGTACCCACTGGGCCCCAGCCAGGGTCACCCCATCCTCACCCTGCCAGGGCCCATGCAGACCCCTGCCTCTCACAAGGCCCCAGTTTTCATGCCTGCCTTCCAAATGGCGCCCCACTCTGCTATAGTAGCAGCCTCAAAGTGGGGCCTGCTTTTGCAGCTCAGCCAGAGATCTCCTTCTGGCTCCCCCTCACTTAGCCTGACTTGGGGAGGGACACAACTTCTTTCCTCCTCAATTGCTATTTCTAGGAGTTCCCTTTCTAATTTCCCCTGCTAAGCCTTCTCTGGCACAAGCTGAAGGTGGGGTGATAATATAGGGGCTATTTGGTCAATCCTTCAGAGGAGTGTGGAGCACCTACAGAGAGAATGTGGGGGTTGGGTCCTTAGCTGTTGTCCGACAACTGAAAATGTTCCATCCCACAGGCTGCTGGGCTTTTATAAAATCAAAGTGAGACCTTGTGTCAATCAGGGTCCTGGCAGGAAGCAAAGGCAGACTCAGCTGTTTTGCTTTATTTTGTTTTTAAGAGAATTTCATGAAGGGGCTATTTACTTGGATGTGGGCATTAGGAAATCAGCATGGGATGTTGAAGGCCCTGGAACTGGCACTGGTGGGAATCTTACCACCACAGGCCTAAGGGGTATGGGGAGGAAGAGGGCACAGCCAAGCCCCCAAGCTCTCTCTTCTTCCATGCCCTGCCAGTGCCTCCCAGCAGTCAAATCAAGCCAGAAGCCAGGGGCCATGGGAACCCAGTAATGCCCTAGACACAGAACAGTATGGAGAGTGGAATAGAGAGACAGATGCCAAAGGGGTGGGCGTGTGAGGCAAGCAAGGACAAAGGGATGGATGTTCCCCCCTCCTGGAATCTGGCTTCTGAGCAGACAACTCCGTGGGCCTGTACAATAAGGAGCATCACCCTGACAAATGGTCCGCACAAAACCACGGCCTAGGGTCTGTGGCCCAGAGCCTTGGCGTGGCCTCAGCTCCCACCCACCCTAACTGAGCTTCAGCAAACCTCCCAGCACTCCCTGGAGGCCTTGAACACCTCCCAACAAAGTCAATCCGAGTTGTCCCCTGCAAGGAGTGAAGGAAACCTGAGAGAACATTCTTCAGATCCAAGTCAGGGATCTTTCTCAGATACCGGGCAGAGCAAACCTCACCAGGAGGGCTGCACCCCAAGCTCAGGGCTTCGCAAGCCCAAGCTGGAGGTGGAACCAGGGTGACTCAGCTGCACTTCCAAAGCCCCCACAAACCAGTCAGAACCTGGTCATCACTGGGGTTAGCAGCACTCCAAGACCAGATTCTTTGTGCTCCTCTTTCTCAAATCAGTCTCTCAAAATGAAGGCCAGGGCAGTGCATTTGATCAGCTAAATGAAGGTCATGTGTTTTCAACCAAACTACGAGGCCTGGGGAAACAAGCACCCCAAGTCCCAGTCAGGAGGGGAACTCCCCAAACATGGGAGATTTCCCATGGTGGGCAATCAACAAATACGTTCAGTAATACATGTAACTTTTTCAATGTGTTGGAGTATTTCCTTCAGGCAATGTCTTCAAAGACAGATACTGACTCTTGGTTAAGTATTTCCAAATTTCTTTCCCTAAAGAGTTAAGCTAATTCCCAACCACATCCAGAAAACACAGTGCCTGCTTTGCCAAACCCACGTACATGAAGTTTTTAAAAAAAAACGAATAGGTAAAATATGTAAAATACGTAATTTTTATTTTCGTATTTTATTTACCTCATTGCTTAATAGTCCCTTTTGTTCCAATGTTTGTTTATTGTATTCTGCAAAAGCCTTTGATTCTTGACTCAGAACATGTTTTATTGTTTGTTTTGACAACTGATTTTTCATTCTTTTACTTTTTGTAGCCTGTGCTAAAATTAGCTGGTATTTGCTGAAAGGAGAGATGTATTAGGATTAGATTCAGCTGTGTGTAACAGAATAAAACCCAAGTTTAAACTAGATAGAAATTTCTTTCTCTTCCACATCAAAGAGCACTAGAGAAAGGCAGCCTCAGACTGGCCTTGAACCTGATCCACAATGTCATAAGCGATCCAGTTCCTCCCTGATCACCCCTCCACCATCACCTGAGGTGGCCTCATCCTCATTGCCCAAAGTGGCAGCTGGAGCTCCAGCCATCATGTCCAGCAGCAGAACAGAGGGCAGAAAGAAAAGGGAACAGTTGCCCATCTTTACAAAACTTGTTTTTATCTTTTTAGTAAAAATTCTCGCATGTCTAAGTTAGACTAGACAATGAACCCAACTAAAAGTCACTACTCAGGACTAAGGGAAGAGTGGATATCAAGAGGCAGGAACCTCTCTCTTCCGTGAAAATAAAAATTACGTTGAAGACAATCCATTCATGTAAGAGCAATTATGTTTATGAAGATGATAGTTTACTAATTATGGTCTTGTGCTTTGCATTTGCTGTGTGTTACTTAATCCTTTGAAATAGGTACACCCTTTTGAAACAGATGCTGTTTCTATCCTCATTTTACAGAGGAAACCAAGGCAGAGAGACTAAGTAACTTGCCCAAGGGCACCCGAACAGGCAGCGTGGCTCCAGAAACTCCAGGACATGACACAACTATGAAGAGATGCAACTCTTACTAGTAGCACCAAGCCCAGGAGGTGGGCTGGGCTCGTCCAGGGGCTTGTGAAGAGAGGGGAGCTGCTTTGTCTCATTTGTTCATCCATTTGACAAAAGGTTCTTTCATAACACATTACATTTACAATAAACTGTCTAATGCCTGTGTTTGCCACTTCTTGGGGGCAGATATTATATCCCCAGCAGGCAGCACAAAGTAGGTGCTCTGAAGCTATGTGACCTGTGAATGAAATCACGTGCCAGGGCTCTGAGCATACAGGACAGGACAGGCACAGACCCTGCCCAAGGAGCGGAGACTGACAGGTGGGAACTGTAGGGAACAGTGCAGGCAAAGGTATGGGGAATCCATGGTGAGAGGTCTGGGGTGGCCACATTGTACTTTATGTGTCACAAGCAATAGGGATAAGGTCCTTAAGGTAGGCTGAAGCCAGACTGAAAGTCCAAATCCAAGGTGAGATATTTAGCCTCTACCCTGAGTCGGTAGGCAGTAGTAGCCCCTGCAGGCTTTAAGCAGGTGATGACAGTCAGAGTTGCTATCTAGAAAGATTGCTCTGGTCAGTCTATACAGAGGAGGGACAGGAAGGGAGAGACCAGCAGCAGGGAGCCCCATAGAGAAACTGGAAAAATGAGAACCCTGGTGAGAGGGCTCTGGGAGGCTGGGACCCAGGAGACAGGAGCTGCTGCGTCTCAGGGATGGTTGGGAGGCAGACAGAGCAAGACCTCTGCTCAATATGGGCAAGAAATAAATTGGAGAGCTTTCAGGGCTGCAGAAAGGAAACCCTGATTGAGAAGAGCGTAAGGGGGAGTTGGAGGTGGGGTGGGGACTGAAGTGAAGGGTTTGGAAGAAAGGAGAGATGAGGTGAGGAAAAACAGAAGAGGCCCTATGCTAGGGCGTGAGAGCCAGAAAAATGGGCCAGGGAAGTCTTTGGGGGGGGGAAGGGGCCAAAGTGAGGGGGGCAGTGATGGGGGCTGGAGAGGGGCCCTGGCTGGAGCTGGGGCAGACAGCAGTTGGACGCCTGCAGACTGTGCTCATGGCTCAGCAATGTCCTGGCCCTGCCAGGAGACAGTCTGGCCCCCACTGCCCCTGTCCCCCACAGCCCGTCAGGCTCCCACATCAGGAACTCTGAAGCTGTTCACCAATTGTCTGCTCCCCCAGAACGGGCCTCCCTGCTTCAGAACCCAGACATACCTACACCACCACCCCTCAGCCTTCCCCCGTGGCTGATGAAACACAGGCCAGGGAAGGAGGGAGAGAAAATAAGCAGACATCTCCTGGGGTGGGGAGCGGGTGGCGGGCATCATGAAGCAGGGGATGGGTTGGGGGTGCCAGGGGGCCCACAAGTCCAGAGGGTGTTGTTAAAAGGGATCCAAGGGGCAGTGTGAGCCAGCAGGGAGTTAATGTCTGCAGAGCTTTGCCCCTGACAGGCCTAATGAGACACAGGTGGCTCCCTGGCACAGGCCCCACTCCCTGGGCCCTCCTGATGGGGTAAGGCAATACTGGTTCTGTGGCTGGGAGGTGGAGTGGGGGTTCTGCAGTTACAGGGGGTGGGGCCTGGGCGCTGGCCGGGGCCCAGCACATAACTCTGGGCGGTTGCAGTCTGGGGCGCAGTCTGGGGCAGCAGACACCCAGCAGCTCAGAGCTGAACTGACAGCATGAAGGTACCGGGCCTGGGCCAGGGGACTCAGCACTGGGGAATTAAGCGCACTCTATGGAGAGGATCCTTACCAGAGAGGAGGCTATGAAGGCACAGGGGTTCCTGTGATGCAGCTGAAACTCTCAAGCCACTAGCGAGGGTGCTGAGCCTATCCTGGAGAGTGGGGTCATTTGGGAGGGGAAAGAGGTGCCAAAGAGCAGGCAAGGGGTGTTGCAGGGGGTGGTCTGCGTGGCGTGGAAGTGCATCTCTGGGGCTGGGGAGAGGCTGCAGTGAAGTAACGGTCTTCCTGTCCTTGCTAGGCCCTCCTGGCCCTGCCGCTGCTCCTGCTTCTCTCCACTCCGCCCTGTGCTCCCCAGGCCTCCGGGATCCGGGGCGATGGTAAGCAGTCCCACATTGCAACTGCAGCCTGAATGGGTGAGAAGCTGTTATGAGCCATCACTTCTGGGAGTCAGGCCTCAGGGCGGAGTCCCGGCTTTCGGGATTTGGTTTCCTCCTTTATACAACGGGGCAGGTGGATGGGATGGTCTTGGAGCATGCCCATTTCGAAGAAATCGTGCCATTTCTTGTGACAAAGTACCTTGCTCCCAGTTACTGAGGTAAACTGTGGCGTGCTGAGGAGCCCATAATTCCTCAGCCCCTCTCCTAAATCTCCCTGCCCTGCCCCCAGCTCTGGAGAAGTCTTGCCTGCAGCAGCCCCTAGACTGCGATGACATCTACGCACAGGGATATCAGGCAGATGGCGTGTACCTCATCTACCCCTCGGGCCCCAGCGTGCCCGTGCCTGTCTTCTGTGACATGACCACGGAGGGCGGAAAGTGGACAGTAAGTGGGCGGCAGGGAGGAGGGCGAGGGCAGAGGACTGGTTCTAGTCTCAGTCTTGCGACCAAGACTCACATCTATAAACCCGTTTCCTCATCTCTAAAACGGGGAAACAAAACTCACAGATCCTTTGCAAGCTGCTGCCAACTCTTAATTCAAGGTACTTATGGTAGGTTAGCACATGTAATTTTCACAATTCTGGGAGGAAAAGACCTTATATAGTTACCAGAGGCGAGGTCACTTGCCTGAGGTTACACAGCCTGCACCAGGCCTCACACTTAGGAATGTAAACTCTAGCGCATCCCTGTTAACTTCCTCCTGGCACTCCAGCAGCTGCTCACATAGGGGCCTGGTGCCAGCGTGCACCTTGTTCAGGGCCCCTGGCTCAGTCCTTTCACAACATGCATCATCACCACAGGGCCCAGGTCTGGGGGGTGGCCCCTGCCCAGGGACCCTGATTCTCTAGGCTCATCCTCTCTGCTTCAGATTTTTCAGAAGCGATTCAATGGCTCGGTGAGTTTCTTCCGGGGCTGGAATGATTATAAGATGGGCTTTGGCCGTGCTGACGGGGAGTACTGGCTGGGTAAGACGAGGGCCAGGTGGGCTGGGCTGGGGGTGGCCCCAGAGTCAGATCCTTGACATCAACTGCCCCTCCTCTGCAGGGCTGCAGAACATGCACCTCCTGACACTGAAGCAGAAGTATGAGCTGCGGGTGGACTTGGAGGACTTTGAAAACAACACAGCCTATGCCAAATATGTGGACTTCTCCATCTCCCCTAACGCAATCAGCGCTGAGGAGGACGGCTATACCCTCTATGTGGCAGGCTTTGAGGACGGCGGGGCAGGTATCGCCTCTCTCGAGAGCCTAAGGAGTTGGGGGTGGGCAGGGCTGGCACTGCCCAGTTACCCTTAATCCTCTCCAGGCCCCTCCTTTCCCCTTCTGGGCCTGGAAGGGCCATGGCTGGCTCCCACCCACCTTGAGCCTCAGGCCCCGGGAAAATCCCCATCTGCTCCCACACAGCCCTCTGAGAAGCAGCTGTTTCTTTCTGTTGCAGCACAGCTACCCAACATCTGGCTCAGGGAGGGATCCCATCCCACCAGATCGTCATGTCTCAGAGTTATCCTTTGCTGCTGTCACCCCTCTCCCTGCTGGCTCTGGCTCAGCTCCCAGCCTCAGTAGTAGCCTCTTCCCTCCTCCCCTCTGCAGGTGACTCCCTCTCCTACCACAGTGGCCAGAAGTTCTCCACTTTTGACCGGGACCAGGACCTCTTTGTTCAGAACTGTGCAGCCCTCTCCTCAGGAGCCTTCTGGTTCCGCAGCTGCCACTTCGCCAACCTCAATGGGTTCTACCTGGGCGGTTCCCACCTCTCCTATGCCAATGGCATCAACTGGGCTCAGTGGAAGGGCTTCTACTACTCCCTCAAGCGCACAGAAATGAAAATCCGCCGGGCATGAAATCCCTCAGGCTCCAGCCTTCCCTGGCTGCTCCTGGTCTCCATGAGCACATCCTCTCCCCCTACCTCCACCCCATAAATTGGTTCTGCTTCCCTCTCAGCACCTGTCTCTCACAGGGAGCCTTGTGGCTCTAGCCCCAGCTGACCCCATCACATACCTCTGCTGCCCTCCACCTGAAGCTCTGGTGCCAAAAGCTTCCCAGGTTTTCTCTGAAAGACTAGCCATCTCAGCCCACACTTGGCGAGGCTCCACCAGACTCAGTTTCCTCTCCCCTATCCCAAAGTCTGAGAGCCAGGAGCTGCTCTCACTGGCTGTAGGTTTTTCTGCTTCACCTTGGCCAGCACCCTTAAACCGTGGACAGCTTGCTCTGGGGCCATCCTACCAGGTTAGATTGAGCTGATATAGGCTGCCCACAACATATACCAGGCTACACACGAGCACTCCCTCTGGCTTGTCTCAGAGCACCTTCATCCTTGGTCTCCTTAACACCAACTTATTCCCCACTAGTGAGCAACTTACTCCCCCAGCCCCATTCTGTTATACTCAACTTCCCCTACTTGCCTGTCTCAGGCCCCCCAAAGCTCAAAACTGTAACTCTATTTCACACTATTGCATGCCACCCTAACATAGCCACATCCAAGGTAGGCATTAGATACGAGATCCCACCTGCCCCAGGATTGAGGTTTGGCCATGTAAGGGGATACAGGGCAAGCTCTGTGGGGCTGGGATCAGGTGGGGAGTGCAGGTCTCAATAAACCTCAGGATCTGAATGAACTGACTCTGGCTGTTGTACATGCATGTATTTGCTTGGCCCCCAAATGTGGGGACCTGGTTCTTCCTTGCCCCTCTACTGAGAGCACCCTGGCCTGAACTCCAAAAAGAAGAGCTGGAGTCAGGTGCTAAAGGAAACCTTGTATTTCACAGGCCTCGATTTGCTAACAAAAAGACTAATAATAAAATAATAATAATAATAATAATAATAAAAGTACAATACTGAAAAGGATTGCTTGGGGAGTAAGGGATTCCCAATCCTGCCATGGTTTGGTGGTGGCTCAGGTGGCTACTTAAGGCCGCAGGACGGGTCTGAGATGAACCTGCAGAAATAATCCAAGTCAAACTTTCCCTGTTAGGGCTCCAGTCAGAATGCTCCCATGGGCTTGGAGCTGGAGCCACCCCTGGAAGCAAGGCACAGTTGTGGGCCTCAGGGCTCCTGAAGATCAGACAGGTCTGCCAGCAGCATTGGGGAGTCCATCTGTATCTCACGCTGTAAGGACTCAATGTCGGCAGGGTTCATCCCGTGGCCCTCAAGCCAGTCAGCAAGCAGGGAAGCTGAGAGTGAGGCTGAGTCTGCCTGGCTGCTGGGAGAAGGGAAATGGAGAGAGCAGAGGGGAGAAACGCCGTCAGCTTAGGTTGGCTTCTCACCCATCCCATAGGCAAGTGCTTCCTGCACCAGGAACCCGCACCCACAGCCTCATTCCAGAAGTTGGGTCCACCTTACCCATCCTGTGGCCCGTCAGCTACACCCATGTCAAAAGACTGGTTTAGGAATTCCTCCAGATCAAAGCCAACACCATAGCCAGCCCCACTGCCCTTGGGAGTGCCGGAGAACACAGGAGGCAAGGGGTCTTCTACCTGCAGAAGATGATGACAGGTTACAACACAGGCACCACCAGGAGCATATTGAGGTCTGCAAGACACCCACTGCCCTGATACAGCTGGCAGCTCTGCCAGGACACCAGGGTGACAATTTGAGGGCCAGCCTCAACAATCACTGAGTGCTGGCTGGGGCACTTCCCAGGGAGTATCTTACTATGTCCCAACAATCTCCTCATTGGCATTATATTCTTCCTATGACCAAGGGGACAGTTCAAAGCTTCACCTGATGCTCAGCTGTCATGGGACAAGGATACACCAAAGCCTCTCCTATCCCCATCAAACAAGGACTTCCCATATCCATTTTCCCTGGGTCCACATCCAGATGTCTTCATGGTGTGGGCCTCTTCTCTCACCTGTGACTTGGACAACTGCTGGGTCACCAGGTTGACATCGGGTGACTCTGAGGTGGAGGGCTGAGGGGGGCCCCCAGTGTCTGGAGGGGGTGGGCCAGATGAGAAGTAAGGCAAAACACCTGGGCCGCTGGGGCCAGGCAACCCAGTGGGTGGCACAAGTGACTGGGGAGCCAGGAGGCTGGAGGTGGTAGTCTGCAGAGGAGCAGGGCCAGGGACGGGCCCAGGAGGGCCAGCAGGGTGGGGAGCAGGAGGCAGGCAGGCAGGCTGTGATGCAGGACCAGGGGTGGAGCCTGCAAGTGGTGGTGGGGGGCCTGCTGGCCGGGACACTGGACCAACAGGAGAAGTGGTGGGCTGGGTTATAGGGGGTGTTGGTACTGGGGCGTGGGCTGGTGCCATGGTGGGGGCTGTGGCCGGGGTGGAGGCTGGAGGCTGGGCCATGCGAGTCCAGCGTTCCAGCAGACTACGGTCATTGTCACTAAGCACCAGTCCAGCCAGGGGATCGGTGGAAGGACCTCCAGAGGTCCCAGTCCCTCGCTCCTTGCGCTCCCGCTCCTGTCGCCGCTTCTCCCGCTCCTTGGCTCGTTCCTGTCGCCTCCTTCGCTTCTCCTCCCGCTCCCGCTGGCGCTCCTGGGCTGTCACAGGTTTCCTAGGCTCAGGAGCTTCCAGGGGGGCACTGGGGCCATCTGTAGGAAGTTGGGCAAGGGAGAAGGTAAGAGTCTGCAGCCTTGGACAAGCCCGGGACCCCCACCCCACTCCCCAGCCAGCTACTGCCTCCACAAGACACCTCTGAGCCGGCTCCGCAAAGACTTGAGTAGGGCAGCTTTGAGGGCAGCTTTGGTGTTGTCTGAGATGGCACCCTCCTTCTTCGGAGGTGCTGGTTCACTGGTGGGTGGCGGTGGCTGCAGGGTCAGATCAATGGTGTCCAGTGCAGGGCCAGAGCATGGTGGTGGGGCTGGTGGAGGTGATTCCATAGCACAGTCCCCGCTAGGAGCCCAGGGACTGGGCATCTCAACATCGGGACAACCAGGTTCACTGGCTACAGGTTGTAGGGAAGGCTGGAAACGGATCTGCTGGCGGATGCCCTCACGCCGTGCATGAAAGTCCTCAATCTCGGCCACAATAGCTTCCTTGATTCGTTCCCGGGTGAGGGCTTCTCGGTCAAAGGCAAAGTCAAAGGGTGGGGCACAGTCAGGCTCATCATCAGGGTCATGGTACTTGGCTAGGAAAGGGTGGCGAAGGGCAGCAGCTGCTGAGATGCGGGCACTGGGCTCGAAACGCAGCATGCGCCCCAGCAGTGAGAGGGCCTGGCGGTCAGCACCTGGGTACACTGTCTCCCAAGGTACAGGCTGGCGGGGTGGTAGGCTCTGGATATAAGCCCGCACCCTCTCAGCCCCAACAGCCTGAATCACAGCAGGTGATGGAGTACCCAGCACCATCATAATCAGTTGCAGTTGGTGCACATAGTTCTTGCCGGGGAAGAGCTGGCGCCGGGCCAACATCTCGCCAAAGATGCAGCCTACGGACCACAGGTCAATAGCCTGTGTGTACTCATGCAGTGAGAGCATGAGCTCCGGGGCACGGTACCAGCGCGTGGCCACGTACTCAGTCATGAAGTACTGGTGCTCAGCGGGAGAGGTACACAGGCCACGAGCCATGCCAAAGTCACCAATCTTGAGCTCACAGTTCTCATTTACCAACAAGTTGGAGGGCTTGAGGTCGCGGTGGATGACCTGAGCTGAGTGCATGTACTTGAGGCCCCGCAGCAGCTGGTACAGAAAGTAGCGCACGTGCTCCAGCGTGAGCGGCTGTGAGGAGTGGATGATCTGGTGCAGGTCGCTCTCCATCAGGTCCAGGACCACATAGCTGCAAGGGGCAGGGGGGGAAAGTGTGGGCTAGTCCACCCACGTTTCAGCCCCCTCACCATTCCCCTCCCAGCTCCAGACAGGTAAGGTGCTACCCTCACTCTCTAGGGCCCGCAGCATGGGGTGAAGATTCTAGAGTCTCTACAACTCCTCCAAGAACTTAAGTGACATTAAATCACTTTCCTCTCCAGATTTAGTTTTCCCATTGGAGAAAAGATGTGGTTGGAATAAACCCAGGACTGACCAATAGGCTGAAGTTTTGGGGGACATTTCCATTGTATGGTAGTAACTATTTAAAGGACTATGAGGAGACTGCAAAGCCTTGTCTGTTTTCTGTAGGAAGTGTTTTGCGAATGGTTAGTGATTTCAGCTATGAGAATAGAGGGTGCAATTACAGTATAAATCCTAGATACTGAGATTCTATAAAACTGTAGTATATGTACTCTTCTTGAGGAATTAATTGTCCCTGGGAAAGCCCCAATGGAACACTGGTCCCAGAATCATGGGAATCTTCCAAGCCTGCCTTACATTAAATTCAATTGGCCTTCTAGAACTTTAGCAATACAGCCCCAGACTGCTCTGCTGCCCTCTCCCATCCCTGCTCCTTACACAGACTTGAACTCCCCATAGGGCACAGTGGGCCTCAGGATGTCCTTGATGGCGATGATGTTGTCATGTTTAAAGTGTTTGAGTATCTTCAGTTCCCGGAGGGTCCGCTTGGCATTGGTCACCACATCAAAAGCATTAGGGATCTTCTTAATGGCCACCTGCTGGCCTAGGAAGCAGGGAGGAGGCAGATACCATAAAGTCCTGGGGTAGCTGCATGGTGACACCAGGCCCTGTTCAACACCTCCCTTCTTGGACGCCAAGTATCAGCTACTATAAACTGAATACTATGTGCCAACCCTGCGCTACATCCTCTACATATATTATCAGATTTTCCTTTTACATCTATCCTGAGGCAGCTACTAATGCTAAAAATTAGAGATGAGGAAACTTAGCTCAATAACTTGTTGGTGCACAGCTAGTGGTAAAGTCTAGATTCTAATGTCTGAGTTGATTCTACCTTCCTACATTCTTCATCTAGAACCCAGTTATCCTACCATCAATCCTTTGTGTCAGTCTCTAGCTCCAGAACACACTTATTTCAGAAACCAAAGGCAGGACCTCCATTCCCGTCTAACCGGGGTGGTCATTTTTCTAAGGAGGAAGGAAGCTGGCTGATGTGATGGCAAAACCATCATGCCAGGGTTACAAAGAACTGTGTCCAACATCGAGCCTGGCACCCAGAGGGCACCTGACCTACAGGCAGAATTCACATTCCAGCATTCCTCCCTGGCTCTTTTGAGACGGTTTCCACGTCTGAGAGGGATCCAGAGGGAAGCTCACCCGTGAGGCGGCGGCGCGCCGAGGACACCACCCCATAGGCCCCGTTGCCTATGGTTTCGATGATCTCGTACTCGTCGCCCACGTCAAAGGTCACATCGAAGGAGCGGGCTTTGAGCAAGGCAAGGTTCTTGGCTGCTACAGAGGCAGCGGTGTTGGTGGGCTCCACCTTCACCGGCCCTGGGGGCTCCCCGGAGCCGTCCTCACCATCTTCTTCCTTCAGAGGCTCGGCCATGGCGTCTGTGCAGAGACGCTGGTGAGAAATGAATGACCCACCCGGCCCCGCCCCGGCCTCAATTTCCCCTCTGCAGGCTGGGGAGCAGGACCTGGGCTATCCAAGTTCCTTCAGCCGACGGAGGCTGGGTGGGGGGGCTGGAGAGAACGGCCGGCACGGAGCGGACGTGCCCCACCGGGGCTCCGGCCCCGAGCTCGGGTCCGGGCGAGAGCGCGGGGTCGGAGGTGGGGGAGGTGCGGAGAGGCGCGGTCCAGGAAGAAAGGGAGGGGCGGGGCACTTCGCCTTCCTCGGTCCACACTCACCGAATGGCGCCTCACCCCGACGCCGCCTAAGTGCTTTTGGAGATCCCCGACGCCCCGCGGGCTCCGGGCACCGGGGGAACGGAACTCCGAGAGCCGGCCGCTCACTTGTTCAAGGCCGCCGCCACCACCTCAGCGTCGCGCCCGGCCCCGCCGGCCCTCCCGC